ACTGTAATTTCTCCTTTAAATGTATCTTCATATTTTACTACTTACTACAAACATCTCATTTACAAATATTCTCCATCTTTATAAAAAAAGTACAATGATCCAAATTTTCTTTAGTAATTTAACAATTAATATTGCACATTTATCTCATAAAATACAGAGTATTACAATATTTTTTCTCCTTTATATATAGCTCCAAACAACTTCTTTCTTATGTTAGAATTTAGGGCTAATTTAAGGATTAATTTTTAGTACCCTATACAAAAAATTTAGAGCTTTTTTATTTTTTTGAAAAAGAGCCCACTTGACATCAAGGTACAAGTACCATACTTAAAGAATAAGGTATTTTGAAAAATATATTACGCAATAATTAAAATTCTTAGAAAGCGTTACAAAAGAACTTTCCGAGAACCACCTCACTAATATTTAAATTTAATTTTGAAAATGTAACAAATTTTTTATCTAACAATAAAATATGAAGAAGCTGAAAGCAAGTCTTGATTCAAAAATAGTTTTTATATAAACGTATGAACATATTGTAAAAATCATTAGTTAAAATTTTCATTTTATAGAATTTTATTTATCATATCTAATTATTTTTGAGCCGAATTTTTATTTGTTCGATTTAGTGTTTTGCAGAATTTTCGTCAAACCGATTTTCTATATTATAGAATTTTTATATAACCAAAACTTCACTTCATAGAATTTTTATTTGCTCGAATTTTCATTTAACACAATAGGCATTTTAATGAATTTTTATTGGGTGTAATTTCATTGCATAGAATTTTCATTTTATTCTTTCAGATGAATTTTCAATTGTTCGAATTATTATTTGATATAATTTCCATATAACCGATTTTTTATACTACAAAATTTTTATTTAACCGAAAAATCATTTAACAGAATTCATATTAATAGAATTTTCATTTGTCCGAAATTGCAAATGGCCAAACAAACTATCGACAGATAGATTTCGGCGCGATTTTTAAAATCAACCAATCACAATTTTATGGATAATTTTTGATTGGCTGATTTTAAAAATCGCGCCGAAATCGATTGTTTGTTCGCCATTTGCAATTTCGGACAAATGAAAATTCTATCAATTAAAAATTCTGTCAAATGATTTTTCGGTTAAGTAAAAATTCTGTAGTATGAAAAATCGGTTATGTGGAAATTATATTAAATAATAATTTGAACAAATGAAAATTCATCTGAAAGAAAATTCTATGCAATGCAATTCTACCCAATAAAAATTTAAAAAAAAAAATTTTTTTTTCAAATATTCAAGTATTCAAATATCTCAAAATACGTCGACTTCAATTTTGATAAAAATTATACATAAAGAAAGCTGAGATTCTCTATATATAGTTTTTACCACCTAAATATTATAATGGGCTTTTCAGTGGCTTTGGAGAAAAAAATTGAAATACAAAATCTTTTTATTAAATTTAATATAAGTTGAGACGTAACCCTCACGTAACATCTTACCTCAAATTTCAAATTCTTTCGTTTATTTGAATATTAAAATATTAAAAAATCAAATTCAATAAAAAGTTTTTGTATTTTAATTTTTTTCTCCAAAACCACTGAAAATCCCATTATAATATTTAGATGGTACAAACTAGAGAATCTAAACTTTCTTTATATATAATAAAAAAAAAATAAAATATTGTCGACCTGTGTAATAAAACGGCGAGTTATTCCTTTTAAGGAGCAATGGTATATATATACGTTAAAGTAACTTCCAAACTGAGAAATTGTTTTTTAACAATTTAACGCAAACAAAATTATCATTAAAATTAATTGCAACCAATTTTATGCATTTTTCAGAAAAAAGATGTTGATTCAAAATCTTTTTTTAAATAATTATTTTTTTAACATTTCAATGTTTTTTCTTACAGCTCAGACAAAAATCGCATTTTTTTCTAATTTGAATAAACAAAGGGCTTATTTTATTTAGTAAAAAAAACCTACTCTACAATCGCTTATATTTTAATATTGTTAAAATTAAGTTGTAAAAAAATTATTTACTAAATAAAATTTCAATTGGTTATAATTTTTTAACAATAGAAAAATAAAAGCGATTGTAGAGAATTTCTCACTGAATAAAATAAGCCTTTGTTTGTTAAAAATAGATAAAAACTGTGATTTTTGTGAAAGAAAAAACATTAAAATGTTGAAAAAATAATTATTTAAAAAAAGATTTTGAATAAACATCGTTTTTCTGCAAATTGCATAAATGTCTTCTAAAATTGGTTGCAATTAACTTTATTAATAATTTTGTTTCCGTTAAATTGTTAAAAACAATTTCTCTGTTTTGAGGTTATGTTAACGAATTCCATTCCTCCTTAAGAAATTCTCTTTATTTAGAAGCAAATTGGTTATAAAATATTAATTAATAGTAATTTAATAAAAATATTAATTAACAAGTGCATAAATTTTAGAGTTATTTCAATAATATCTCATTTCAATGAAATTAAAGAGAGATTTCTGAGTTTATAAGTTAATAGTATATGAATTGTAAATACTCTTTACTCTTTTATAAGTTAATATTACTTTAACATAATTTGATATATGAGGCAAAATTCCTGAAATGTCCGAACAAAAAATTAAAAGTTCTCGAATTTAATCCATACTTTTCTAAAATGTTGTTATTGTTGGTGAAAGTCTAAAAATCAATTATTATTGAATTTAATAAAATAGTTTTTAAATTACAACGTTTTTAATTTTTGACTTTTGAAAAAAAAAATTTTTTTCAATGTACAATATTTATAAGTAGAATGCATAAAAGTTAACATATATATAATGATTTTTAAAGCTTTTTTGACGAGCTACACGCTGTTAATAAAATTTTTTTTTTTTAAATAACATTTGACCTTGAAATTCAAGGTCAAAATGTTAATTTACATTTATCTCAAAATCGGATTTTTTAAAATTATTTTTAACTATCTCAATGGAAAGCTTGACTAATTTCCTACAAAACATGTAATTTTCAGAGTGGGATCTTTTAAAGTTTTTGAGATATTAATTAATTAATTAATTAATGTTCATAACAAATGAAATATTTTACAAACGAATAAAGTTACCGTAATTCTGAAGTTAGTAATTGAAAGTTAACGTAATTCCGCATCCAACGAGCCCTATATGAAGTATTTTGGATAAGTAGATTGTTAATAAACAATTAGTTAACATTGCAATTGTTTATTAACAATCTACTTATCCAAAATACTTCATATAGGGCTCGTTGGATGCGGAATTAGCTTAACTTTCAACTGGTAAGTTTAGATTTACGATAACTTTATTTGTTTGTAAGATATTTCATTTTTTATTGTTATTTAACTAAAATTGAACAAAAATACTTCATATAGGGCTTTTGGATGCTTCTTGTTAGTAAAAAATAAAATATTTTACAAACAAATAAAGTTATGGTAATTCTGAACTTACCAATTGAAAGTTAAGCTAATTCCGCATCCAACGAGCCCTATATGAAGTATTTTGGATAAGTAGATTGTTAATAAACAATTGCAATGTTAACTAATTGTTTATTAACAATCTACTTATCCAAAATACTTCATATAGGGCTCGTTGGATGCGGAATTACGTTAACTTTCAATTACTAACTTCAGAATTACGGTAACTTTATTCGTTTGTAAAATATTTCATTTGTTATAAACATTAATTAATTAATTAATTAATATCTCAAAAACTTTAAAAGATCCCACTCTGAAAATTACATGTTTTGTAGGAAATTAGTCAAGCTTTCCATTGAGATAGTTAAAAATAATTTTAAAAAATCCGATTTTGAGATAAATGTAAATTAACATTTTGACCTTGAATTTCAAGGTCAAATGTTATTTAAAAAAAAAATTTTTATTAACAGCGTGTAGCTCGTCAAAAAAGCTTTAAAAATCATTATATATGTTAACTTTTATGCATTCTACTTATAAATATTGTACATTGAAAAAAATTTTTTTTTTCAAAAGTCAAAAATTAAAAACGTTGTAATTTAAAAACTATTTTATTAAATTCAATAATAATTGATTTTTAGACTTTTACCAACAATAACAACATTTTAGAAAAGTATGGATTAAATTCGAGAACTTTTAATTTTTTGTTCGGACATTTCAGGAATTTTGCCTCATATAGCTGTTAAGTATATCTAAATTTTTTCAAAATACTTTATTTTAATATTCAGAAAAGTATAGTTTATAATAATTATAATAAATAAGGCTCGTCATTTAAAAACTTTCAAGTAGCCTTAAATTCGTGTGGAATAATTTTTTAAAAATATTTAATTTTAATATTAAAGGAGTAAGTTTTATGGTTGTGGTTTTTTTTTTTTTTGACAATTTAGGACTATTTAAGAATTATTTAGTCTTTAATTCCCGTGAAAGAAGTGTTTAAAAATATTAAATTAAATTTTGGAATAATTGCATTAATTCAAAAATTATTACTTATTTTTTTCAGAATAATTGATTGATTTACGAAATTTTTCCGAAAAATTTCCGTTATATTTATGTAGTTTTCTTGGAAGTCCATTTACGTTCCCTACATTTCTATGAAAGGAATTTCCATTAGGGTAAATTTTGGGGTTAATGGTGTTTTTTGAAAAATCAAAATTCTGGCATACGTGCGACCTTTTTGGTGAAAGTGATACTTTCAGCTTTACCAACGTCTTTGTATCAGACTTCGTAACTTTCACATATGAACTACTTTTTCATATTTTGAATTACAAATTTAAAAATCAGTTTTTTTGTTGTAAATATCATAAATTAAATTAAATATTAAATAAATATTTTTATGATGAACAATATTATTATCAGTTGAATAATTTATTATCGTATTAAAATATCTATTAAAACCTATTACTTAATAAGTATTTCTATATTAAAATCTTTATTTTTCAAAAGCCTTTTTTACGTTTATCGTCTATAAATTTTTGAGTCAATTTTAAAAAATTCACTTTTATTAACCGAATTAATTTCCGTTTTATTTTTTTTCAGGATTAAGTCGGATGGAAATATAAGCGTAAGGCTCATTTTAATTTGGTGTTGGCTGTCGGTTGCAACGAGGGAAATTAAAGCAACAGTGACTTCAACGCCAAATGATTCGATAATTTTTTCTATTTCTTCATATAAACCAATTACGACAACCGAAGCAGTTTACCAGCGTTTTGCCATTGAGCCAATGGATCAAACTGCAGTTATTGGTAGTCGAGTTACTCTGCCTTGCAGAGTACTTGATCAGAGAGGGCCCATTCAATGGACAAAAGATGGATTTGGTTTAGGAGCCGTGAGAAATCTTACAGGATATGAACGATATGCTATGGTTGGAAGCGATGAAGAAGGTACGTTTTCACAACAATTTTTAAATTACTATTTTTTTCGGGACGCATGATTATGTTCTAAAAATCATTAGTTAACATTTTCATTTTATGGAATTTCATTTGTCATAATTATTTTCGGTACAAATTTTTATTGGTTCGAATTAGTATTTTGCAGAATTTTCATCAAACCAATTTTCTATATTACAGAATTTTTATATAACCGAAAATTCACTTCACACAATTTTTATTTGTCAAAATTTTTATTTGTCAGAATTTTCATTTAACATAATAGGCATTTTAAAGAATTTTTATTGGGTAGAATTTTATTGCATAGAATTTTCTTTCTGATGAATTTTTATTTGTTCGAATTATTATTTGATAGAATTTCCATAAAACCGATTTTTCATACTACAGAATTTTCACTTAACTGAAAAATCATTTAACAGAATTTCTAATTGATAGAATTTTCATTTGTCCGAAATTGCAAATGGTCGAACAAAAAATCGACAGAAAAATTTCGGCACGATTTTTAAAATCAACCCATCAAAAATTATCCATAAAATTGTGATTGGTTGATTTTAAAAATCGCGCCGAAATATTTCTGTCGATTGGTTTGTTCGGCCATTTTCAATTTCGAAGAAATTAAAATTCTTTCAATTAAAAATTCTGTCAAATGATTTTTCGGTTAAGTAAAAATTCTGTAGTATGAAAAATCTGTTATATGGAAATTATATCAAACTAGCAAAATTACACGCGCGCAAGCGCGCGTCCAACTTTAATTGCAATGGTTATTTCAAAATAATAATATTAATAATAATAATAATAATTCTGCATCAGTGGAGTATTAAATTAATAATAAGGTATATTTCTAATTTTCACGTTATCATTTATTTATACACAGAAAAAAATGAGTTTGATGTTATATAAATAAATAAATTTAAGTAAAAATTTTAAAATATAAATATTAAAATTTTAGAAATAAATATTTTTGATAAAGTCAATGTTCGATGAATTTTTTATAATCTTTTAAATTACAAAAAATTAATTATGCTAAATATTTTTTTGTATTTTCTATAAATATTTCGTTGCAAATGAAAATTTTAAATTTATGTTTTTTTTTCAAAAAATTTAATTAACTGATAATTAATAAATATTAAAAAATTATGTAATCAAAAAGAAGTTTAAATTAACTGAAAATTATTAATTATATTTTAAAAAGTATTAAGCAATTAAAAAATATTTAAAAATTTTGAAAAAATAAAACCTAAAAAAAATTTGTAATGTTTTAAACTTTAAACTTAAATTAAAAATTAAAATCAAATAGAAAATTTTTTAAAAAAGCAAACTATTTTTATATTGTTTATAGATAAAAAAATATAACAATTTAATAATTAATAATAATAAATTTATGAATAATAATATATAATAAATAATAATGAATAATGAAAAAATAATGAAAGATAAATAATAATTATAAGTTAAAATGTTCTAATTATCTGTAATAATCATTATATTTAAAAAAATGTATATATAATATAATAAATTTATAAATAATAATAAAAATTATATTATAATTGAAACTTTTTTTTCTATAAATACCAAGTAGGAAATATACTGGTGCTGCACACAATGAACAATATTTTTTTTTACTTTAAACTGTCACTTAGTATATGACTTAATTAATGACGATGAATAAAAATATCCGTCGTGTTAACCATAAAATATTACGAAATCAAGAATTGTCAAAATTTTAGAAAAACAAAAGGAACAAAATACGACTAACTTCAAGTGTGGACAGACGGAATGAATGAATGAATACGGAAATTATTATAGTTAATTATAGTTAATATTAATTCGAACAAATGAAAATTTATCTGAAAGAAAATTCTATGCCATGTTAAATAAAAATTCAAGCAAATGAAAATTCTGAAAAATAAAAATTTGAACAAATATAGATTCTGTGAAGTGAATTTTCTGTTATATAACAATTCTGTAATATAGAAAATCGTTTTGATGAAAATTCTTCAAAATACTTATTCGAACAAATAAAAATTCGACTCAAAAATAATAATGGCAAATGAAATTCCATAAAATGAAAATTTAACTAATGATTTTTAGAACATAATCATGCGTTCCGTTTATTCTCAAACAGAAATAGTTTTTTTTTTACTAGAATTAAGAATTTATCGCACTCAGTCGTATTTTAAATAATAACAAAGAAGATATCGATCACTCGGAGTAAGGATTATAAAAATAATAACTATCCTTTACTTTACGTTTCAGCAGCACTGCTTCCCTCCTTAAAAACAGGAAATTTTTTTTTAAACAATTTTAACATAAAAGTATTTAAAAAAAACTTTAAAATGAAAAACCAAGGAATATGAAAATACATAAACATTTACCGGTAAAATAATAAGATTTAATTATGTTAACATTTGTTAAAATATTAACGATACAGTTTGTTTATATTTACTATTTTTTTTTGATATTTCTAATATTAGCAAAAAACATAAAAAAAATAATTTTATGTTGTATAATAATTCTCGTGAATTTTAGTTTTCTGTTTCTGTGAATCTATTTAATGGATTCTGGTGAAATTTAACCTTTATTTGAAAAATTAAAAATAAATTAAATAAAATTTTAATTAAGTTAATTAATTAAAGACATTTTTAAGGTTACACAGGCGTTGCAAGTCAATCAAAATTATCCGTGTGTGTGCGTCAGATCGAATAATCACACAAAAAAATTAATAATAAATTAAACACACACGAGAAAAAAAATTTATATTAAATTAAAATAATAAATTAATTAAATTTATTTAATTAAATTATATTTCACAACGACTTTAATTAAAATCATCAAATTTATAAAAGGTAATTTTAATTTAATTAAACATTTTACTTATTTTTACAAAATTCACAGTTAAGTGAATGATACAAAATACCAAAAAAGATTCATTTGTGCTAAAAAAATTTTTCGTAAAGTTACAACAATTTTAATTTTTCAAGCAGGAAAAGTCATTTATTTTAAAATTGAGAAAAAAAATCTTTCAAGTGACATATTTTTTAGACTAATTGGAATATTTAATTCTTTCTTTTTAAGTCTAAAAGAGCTTTCACTCTTCTTCAAAAATCCGATAAGAAAATTTAAAAAAATTGATAAATATCAAAATTACTCAAAAAACCCACCTTTTTTTGGCTCAAATATTTATGTTCTTCTTTAATAATTCTAAAAAAATGACTCTTGACATTTTTCATTATTTGCTTATTTTGCTCTTTAAAAGATTTTCTACAATTCTGTTTGTTAATTTAATTAAATTAAATTAACAATGTTTTGTTCAAAAAATAATAAACAAAGAAAATTTTTATTTTTTTAAACAATACATTATTTAACAAAAACACCAAAACAGAATTGTAGAGAATCATTCAAACAGAAAAATAATCAATTGTTTAAAAAAATTGGATAAAAATTAGAAATTTGTTCATTAACTTATAAGAAAAAACACAAAATGTTTATTTATTATTATTTAACAACAAATTTTAACTCAAGAGTGAGAATGTCTGAAACGTGCCACATAAAACTGAAAAATTTAATTTTTGTTGAAATAATATTTTTCTTATAGTATTTTATATGCATAATCACCCTCTAAAACGATTTTGCATAAAAAAATTTTTATTAACAATTACATATCTTTGATCCTTTTTAAAAAAAAATTAATTTCAATGAAATTTATCGATCGATTTTAATGATCAAAACGGCATTCTACTTGTCTTGGATCATAGTTTTAATGATATTTTTTGTGTGCAAAAATATAGATTTTTATTACAAAAAAAAAAATTGTTTATTTAAACCTAAAAACTTATCGGCCCACTCTAAATTGTTATTTTTTTAATAAAAAATGAAAAAAAAATTTCGTTAACATTATTGAAAAGTAAAAGAAAAACTGAAACTTTTCTTCTCTTGGCAAAAATTGAAAAAATCCATTTATTTAATATTTATACCGATTTTGAAGCAAACATAAATTTAAAAATGATTTTTTTTTAAATTTTAGGTGACTTTTCTTTACACATATATCCAGTCGAATTGGAGGATGATGGAATATACCAGTGCCAAGCATCGCCTACCAATGACGGGCAACCGGGACTCAGATCAAGAGATGCTCGACTCAGTGTTCTAGTTCCTCCGCAGAAACCTCAAATTCTAGAGAGTTCATTTGTCGTTACAACGGAAGACAAAGAATTAACAATAGAATGCATTAGTCGTGCAGGAAAGCCGCCAGCAGAGGTAAATTTTCAATTTTTAATTTCATGTGTGATTGTGAATTTTTTAGTACGCACTGTTTAAATAATTCCAATGCATTAAATTTGAAACTGAACGAAATTTCAATTTTCATTTGACTTTGAAAATGTAATTGCAGCTTTATAATGTGATACATCTCATACTTTTAGATAACTTGGATTGATGGTTTGGGAAATGTATTGCACAGTGGAATTAAAACTAAGTGCGAACAGTACCAGGATGGTCCATTGTCGACTGTAAGGTCTGTTTTAACAGTGACGCCACGAAAGGAGCATGACAACACAACCTTCACTTGCCAAAGTCAAAATGCAGCGGATCGCACTCCACAAAATGCTAAGCTTAGAGTAGAGGTTAGTTATATGCTTCTAGCATTCACATTTGCAGGTGATCTTTGGTAAATTGATCCTAATCCTAAATATTATTAGAATTTTTATATTGCCATAATTATTTACGTAAACATTTAATATATTTTTCTTACAGCTCTTCAAAATATCAACTGTTTTCCAAAAACTTAATTCAATTTTTTTTTAAAATTACTGTAAAATTTTTAATATATAAAATATATTATCAAAATTTTCTAATCAAAGTCTTTTACAATTTAATTATTAACAAACAAAAGTTTCTAGTTTTTCAAAATTAAATTATTTAGAAAAAATTTAAATAAAATTCTTCAGCAATTTAAATTTACCAAAATTCAATTTTAAATTTTCTGAAATCTTAACTGAAGCTCCTCTAAAATACAAATATTTATAAATATTTATCTAAAATAAAAAAAAATTTCCGGTGCCACTAGGGTCACACCAGGTATAATAAATCAAAGTTGTCAAAATCGACTAATAAAAATTTTTGCAAAGAAAAAATAATATAGGGTCAGTTAGGGTAAATGGGGACAAAATCGCTATTTTTCACAAATTACGTAAGTTTCTTTCTTTAAAAGGTAATATTTGCGGGTTTACTTTTTTTTTAAGTTGTTATTTACATTCCCAGGATTAATTTTATGCAGCAGAAAAATTTTTAGATAAGCTTTAAACGCATGAAACTGACTGTCCCCATTTACCCTAAAATTTAGAAAATTTCATAAAATTTGGGGTAAATGGGGACAGCATAGTTTCTAAGAAAGTTTTAAGAAAAAAGTTTCCTTAAGTATATTTCTGTATTAAGGGATGAAAAAAATTGAAAAAAATTTGTAGTAGATAAATAATAGTTAAACCAATTGAAATTTTTTTATTTTTCTTTTATTTCAGTATTTTGTCTCGCATTTGAAAAAAAACAGACTTAAAAATCATACCAAATTTTTTTCTTATTCCTTATGACTCCTATAACAGAAATTCACTTTAATTTTTGATTTTTGTTAATTTGGTTAATAATGACAAGCTGTCCCCATTTACCCCAAAAATTTGAAATCTCAGGGTAAATGGGGACAGCTTGTCATTATTAACCAAATTGACAAAAATCAAAAATTCAAATGAATTTCTGTTATAGGAGTCATAAGGAATAAGAAAAAAATTTAGTATGATTTTTAAGTCTGTTTTTTTTCAAATGCGAGACAAAATACTGAAACTGTTTGACTTTGATTTTCAAGTTTTATGCATTGAGCGATAACTTTGTTTATCTTGCTGCCAATTGTCAAGATAAAAGCTTGAGGTTAAAATATTGACGTTGAACTTAATTTTAAAACTGTAAATTAAGCTCCAAAACTTCTTGTCCCCATTTACCCCCTGTCCCCATTTACCCCAACTGACCCTAAAATAGCTAATTTGTTGAAAATTTGTTCAGCGACGCATGAAAATGCCTCAAATTAGAGTTGAGCCCAATTTTAATATCAAAAAATTTCTATTTAACAAAATTCTGATTTTATAGAATTTCTATTCAATTGAAGTTTGATAAAGCTGATTTTCCAAATACATCAAATTTTTAAATAATACAATTTCTATTTAACAGAATTTGTATCTAAAAAAATTTTCATAAAAAAAGAATTTTTATTTATCAGAATTGTTCTTTTGTCGAATTTCTGTTTGACTTAATATTCATTTAAAAGTATTTTTCTTAACTGAATTTCCAATTAACACAAAGTCTATACAACAAAATTCTTATTTAACTAAACTTTTTTTCAATAAAATTTCTATTTAATATAATTTTTATTAAATAGAATTGTCATTAAACAGAAATTCTACTTAGCTAAATTTTTAACTCAGAAAATTTTTATTTCAAAGATACTTCATTTGAGCGAAATTTTTCTTATCCGAATTTTCATTTGATAGAATTGTTCAAATGTCGAATTTCTATTTGATCGAACTTTCACATTTTCGATCATACATCCGACAGAAATATTTCAGCGGGAGTTTTAAAATCAGCCAATCAAAAATTATCAAGAAAATTTTGATTGATTGATTTTAAAACTCCCGCTGAAATATTTCTGTCTGATGTATGATCGGAAATTTGAAAGTTCGATCAAATGGAATTTGATATTTTAACAATTCTATCAAATAAAAATTCGGATAATTAAAATTTCGGTCAAATTTAGTATCGGTTAAATATAAATTTTCTGACTTAAAAATTTAGTTAAGTAGAATTTCTTATATTTAATAAAAATTAGATCAATTAGAAATTTTATTGAATAACAGTTTTGCTAAATAAGAATTTTGTTATATAGAAATTATGTTAATTGGAAATTCAGTTAATAAAAATTCTTTTAAATGAATATTAAGACAAATAGAAATTTGACAAAAGAACAATTCTGATAAATAAAAATTCTTTTTCATGAAAATCCTGGGACAGAAAATTATTTTGTTTACTGAGTAATTTTAACAAAACGAAAGCGTTCAATAAATTTACAAGAAAATATAAGTTTTAAATTATTTTTTAATCAAAACCCTGTTTCTTAAATAAATTGGTATTCAACCTGAATTTTATTTTTATAATTCTTCATATTTTAGTTGATGCAATAAATGTAGAAATTAAATTATGCTTTAATAACACACAAATTAAGGTCGAATACTAATTTATTTACGAAAATTCGGTTTTCAGCATAAAATAATATAAAAATTCCATTTTTCTTATAAATTTATTGAACGATTTCTTTTATTTTTAATTTTTAAATTTCTCATTCAGTAGACTATACATGAATCGAAATTAATAAAATATACAATGAAATTTGAAGTGCATATACCTTTGGATTGAACTCTCTATTAAACAAGATTTTCAGCATCGAATATACAAAAACTTAATTTCCTCAAAAATTGAGTCTACAGATTTTTTTCTTTTTGGTCTTAAATTATTCAGAAAACATTTTTAAAATGAAATTCAGAAGATAATTTGAAATGCAAAAATTTGTGAGTTGACACTATTACTGCAGATTTTTAAAAATCATTAATAATTACTATTTAATGTGATATAATAATTTAAATTTATGTATTAATGATTAAATTTCGTATTACATTTTAATATATTTTTTCGAATTTAGGAAAAGGTATTTTTTAAAATACGACAAATTTCTTCAATATTACATATATAGCGCAACATTCTAATATGTTTATCTTTAATTATGTAAAATGAAAATCAATTTTTATTGAGTATTTTCGATGCAATGAAGACTTAAACTTCGGTGGTTCATATTAAGAGTTGATCCACATATTTTTAATCCAAAAATCACTAAAATAACCTAAAACTTTTAGCCTCTAAGGTTTTTACTCAATTGACGATAGTTCGAAGCGGAATAACTTATTTTAATGCGAAAAAATGTTGGTTCGTTGATTTTCGTTAATTACAAAGACCTGGCTAATAATCCACAGAATCTTTTGAATTTTGGGAATTTATGAGACAAGGATCCTTGGTATCATTAAATTATCATTAAATTTTGCATAAATTATTTCTATTGGTTCTAAAGTATACCTCGGAATATTTTGATCGCAGTTGATTCAGTCATTCCGAATGATAAACAATCGAAAATAGTAGTGGGTCAGATAGACCCAGAGTGTTCTCTGTGATCGAGGAAATAGGTTTGTTCTTGGAGGGTTAATACACTTATGCACATAGACGCTCGCAAACCTATATATATATATATACTAATAATACACTGTGGCACGCATGACAACGATATTTACTGAAAACATACATAGAATTTTAGTGATCGGAATCAATCACTATATTTCCGGTTCGTGAGACGTCTAACTCGGCTGAATTTGTTGACTGATGGGGAAACCCGCCACTTTTCATATAAAATGTAACAAATAGTGAAATAAGTATAATTATTTTTAAGTGGAGGTCAAACTTGTTAAATGTAAACAAACCGAAAATCTAAGCAATTATTGACTAATTTGTGACAGCCTTTTTTTAAAAAAAAGAACAAAAAATTTCTTTCTTTATGTGAAAATGGAAAATTGATATATAAAACTAAAGGGTAACACCTTATTTGGCTAATAATACGAACAAATAAATGTAAGTATCATAAAATAAAAAGTAAATGCAAACCCGCAGAAAAAATAATTAATTAATTTCATTTAAATGAATTAATTTTTTTACGACTTGTGAAAATTGTTGTTTCAGTGTAATTTTCATCTTATTATAATTATACTTATTTTTTTATATTATTAGTCAAATAAGATGTCATACTGTCGTTTTATATATCAATTATCAATTTTCACATAGAGAAATAAAAATTTTTATTTTGAATTTAAAAAAAGACAGCCACAAATTAGTCAATTATTGCATACATTTTCGATTTATTTAGATTTGACATCATGGACATTCTCGTATTCTGTATATTCACACATAAATTCTAAATTTCTTTAAATAAATATACTAATTTTATTTATTCTTATATTTATTGTATATTTTCTTAAAAATAATTCAAATAGTAATTCAAAATTTAACACTTTTTCCCTAAATTGTAACATTTTATATTAAACTTCCTTATGAAAGTATATCAATTAATGCTAACGAATTTCTTTCAGTGATATATTATCCAAGAAAGCACTTTATTATATATTTTAAAATACATTAAACATATAATAAAAAAATATTGATTTTTTTTCTCATTAGGTGCTTTATGCTCCAAAAGTTTCACTAAAAATACGGTCTGGCATATCGAAAAACAATAAAATTATCGAAGGATCTGAACTTAGGTTTAAATGTAGAGCAGAGGCCAATCCGTCAAGCATGGAATACAGGTGAGTAAAATTATTTATTAATAATATTACCCAAAACTGAGACGTCATAATATTTACTTGAGCAAAAAAATCCCTTTATTAATATCAGTTCTGACTTTGAATATATATCAATGATTGATGGAATTACGATGCTTTGCATTTGATTCTGTTTTTTGATGCGTTATTGAAATTAAATTTTGTAATTTTCAGGTGGTATATCAATGACAAAAAAGTAATTGGAGATTATACAACAGAAATGATAATTCATAATGTGACACGTGAACTTCATGATGCTATAGTAAAATGTGAAGTGCATAATGACGTCGGAAAGAGCGAAGAAACTGAAACTTTGGATGTTACATGTACGTTGAAAAATATAGAAATATTTTTGTTTAAAATATTATTTATTTACAATATTTTCTGACTGTTTACTTATTTTAGATGGTCCACAATTTCGACATCCACCAAGTTCTGTTGAAACACATTATGGTTCAACAGAAGTACTACAATGTGATGTAGATGGTAATCCATCGCCTGAAATTTTGTGGGTTCATGAAGAATCTGACAGAGTTGTGGCGACAAGTTCCAACATAAGCATCCTTGTTACACCAGAAACAGCTGGAAAGTATTTTTGTAAAGCTCACGTACCTGGTTTTGCTGAACTAACTGGTTTTGCCAGTATCTACATTCGTGCTCCGCCAAAGATAATTTCTCAAAAAACGCAATACGTTCCAGATGAAGGAATTATTAAGGTTTGTAATTATTCGCATCATAAATAAAAAATACAAGAGCTGCTTCTAATTTTTAATTAAAAACTTTTTCAACAGCATTGTTAAACATTTTTTTTCTATTTTATGTTTATAGGTAAAATGTGTTGCTATATCTGTACCAAAAGCTGAAGCAGTTTTATGGAAATTTAGTGGGCAAGAATTGAATTCTTCTCCAAACAGCACATTATTTACTATTCAAGAAGAGTTTTCTTCAGAAAGAGTTATTAGTACAATTATTCTTCTTGAACCAAGTACTGCGTATTTTGGAAATTATAACTGTACAGTTACAAATAGTTACGGCTCGGATTCTGCAATTATTAAACTCACAACTCACAGTAAGTTCATTATTTTATTTTACTTTCATTTATTATTATTATTATTATCCAAAGTGAATGTTTTAAAGGACCTCACACAAGAGACATTGAAAAAAAGCTCATGATGAAATTACTTAAAACTTTGCAGTTTTTTAGTTTTTGACCTCCTGAACAAAAAATCTTTATAGGTCATGTGATTGTTGTGATTTCACATGTAAATATTCTCCGCAGGTTTTCTCGCAAAATACTTGATAGATTGAGCTAAAATTTTGTAGAGAACTCAATAATAGTAAAAGGATTTATTATCATGTACCAAAGTTTATTGATATTTTGTCAAAAAATTTATGTTTAAAAAATTGCATATTTGAGGAAAATTTAATAAGTCGGCAATACGATTTTGATCATTTCCCAATTTGTTAAGAATAAGTTTTTTGATAAAATATTAACCACTTAAGCGGCATGACGCTAAATATGCACGCATATTTGGTATCATGACGCTCAAGTGGTTAAGGGGAGGGAATGGTTAATGAAGTGTAAAAAAGCACATTTTTAATAATTTTTTCCGGTGATACAGAGTGTGTTACTTTATTAACTTAATTTTCCACATATTAATACAATATTTGAAGTATATTCTCCTAAATGCTCATTGTAAAATATTGTGAATTGAACGAGTAGCAGTGAATCTCTGCAGGCGCCCCGTAAAAAAATGTATAATTAATAATTATTTAAAAAAAAAAGAAAAGCTCTCGTAGATATCTGGAGAAGTAATAGTAATGTGCAAAATTTCAAAACGATTGGTTCAGTAGATTTTGAGATATCGTGAACAAGAACTTCAAAAAAGTCATTTCGAGAAAAACGCCATTTTAAATTTTGACAATTTTTAAAATCTTACTTCAGATTCGTAATCAGCGACCCCAAAACATATACATACACGTCAACGACATCAGAAAACATTCAGAAATGTCCACAAAGGGTTAAACACAAACTCAATTCAAAATATACGAAAACACGGCCTGCGAAGCAACCGACACTTGAATGCTCAAATGCTCATAACTTCGTCAATTTTGTTCCGATCGACTTGAAGTTTTGACACAATATTCTTGAAATATTATACATTCATTTAAAAAAATAAAAAAAAATAAAAAAAAATAAATACCATACCCCCCCTTAAAATAATATTGCATATGACAACTAATCCTTATATTCAATACTCCTTATATTAAATACGAGTAGGCTCCGTAGGAAGAATATGTGAGAGAATCGAACACATAGGCTAGGTACAATGTTATGCGTGAAATTGATTACAATGACAATTTTTATGGATAAAAAAATGAAAAAGGTTAAAATAAAACAACCAAGAGAACAACCAATCATTTAATAAGATCTATTTTGATAATACAGTCCTTATAGCAAAAGGTAACTCCAGATGATAAACAATTAAAAATTGCATCAAGTGCATTATTCACTTAGATACGACCTAGCCGAGTATAAGAATGACTTTGCTGTGCGTTGGATCCGTTCATGAATCAAAATAAACTCCACGAGAAGAATACAACTGAAAATCGAATCCAAAACACATAGACTAGGTACACTGATATGTATAAAATTGATCTCAATAACAACTTATATGGTTAAATCAGAAGAGAAAACAGACAAAATAAAATGAATGATGAAGCCAAAAGACTCCTCTTGGGGTAAAACGGAGTGAAACAAACTCCGATTTAAATAAAAAACAATTGTAACCTGGGTTAGATGTCAACTCCGGGTTTCAAACACTTTTAATATTATTAACTATGTAAACATGTTTTGTGTATCTGCAGTGTCACATACAATTAAGGTATTAAAGTGTCAAAGACCACGGTTCTGGAAGGTGACACTGCAGGTTCACAAAACATGTTTACATAGTTCCACAAAGCATAACAAACAGCAGAGGTCATATCAAATCAATATAGTCAATTATAACTAAGACAAAATTAAGAAAATTCATGAAAAAGTGAAAAAGTATAAAAAAAATTAAAAGAATAGGCCCTCAGGAAAACAGAAGTAAAAACTTGAATAATTCACCAGAGCAATTACGGTGAGCGAGAGTAAAAGTATCAGACTGGTCTGAAGTTATCAAAAAAAAGTTACTATATTGCTTTAAAAGCAGAACCGATCTCATAAATTCACCGCTCAGAACTTGACTAATAATGTAATGAACACTTAAAGTTTAAACAAATTCGAAAGAACAAAATCATTGATAATGCACGGAGAGCAGAAACATATTCCGTCCGGACAGTACCCTGCCTAGTTCGAACTCCCAACTTCAGTCTCAGAATACGATCACTCTATCTCATGTATGTACTGTGCATGCATGCAGAAACATTTGCTTGGCCGTTCACACTTCAATGAAATATAGTGAATGTTTAGTAATTTTCCAATTATAACCGAATTTTTTGGAAAAATACTAGAAAGTTACTAACCATTCACTAGATTTCATCAAGGTGTGCACCGTCAATATGTTCCGGTACTCCGTGCATTCTCAATGATTTTTTTTTTTTTTATTTAACTTTTAAGTGTTCGTTACATTAATCAAGTTCTGTGCAGCGAATTTAAGTGATTGGTTCTGCCTTTGAAAGCAATATAATAACTTTTTTTTGATAACATTTTATTTCTTCTACCACGTGCTGTCTAAAAATGTTCCTCGAAGTTTATTCTGAATCTGGTCCGTTTATGTTTTCTTCAGGCGAGTGTGAGACATTTACTCTCGCTCACCGTAATTGTTCTGGTGAATTCAATTTTTCTTCAGCTTTCCTGATGGCCCATTCTTTTAATTGTTTTATGCTGTTCCTTGTGGTTTTGCATTTCCGCGATTTTTCGTAAATTTTCTTGATTTTGCCTGAGTTAGAAGTGACTCACTGTTGACTTACTGTGACCTCTGCTGTTTGTTATGCTTTGTGAAACTATATGTGAACATCTTTTGTGTATCTGCGGTTTCACCTTGCAGAGCCATGGTCTTTGATACTTTAATATCTTGATTGTATATGTGTTACGAATTCGATTTTCAAATATATATAGGTATTCTTCTCATGGAATTTATTTTGATTCATGAATACTTGGCTAGGTCGTTCCCAAGTAACAACGCATTTCATGCAATTTTGAATTACTTATCATCTGGATTTACCTTTTGCTATCTGACCTGTATTACCAATAAGAATTCATTAAGGTTATTCTGGAAACTTTTTCCTCTTCCAGTTTGGTTGTCCTGACTCTTGGCTACACGGAGAGAAAAAAAAAGTTCCAACTGCTTTCTTTTAAGTCGTCATGTTGATCTTATAAAATCAAGTAGTTATAACCAGGGAGCCAGGCTGTTTTGACTTGGGTCTTTAATTGCAACTATTGGTGTTCTCAGGTGATACCGACCAATCTTTCCCCTGCTCAATTGATACTACTTGAGACAGCCAGGCCAAAACTGCCTGCGTCGGTCAAGTAGTTTCAACTGGAGTCTCCGGTTGTTGCAACTTAATTTTTCTCTCCGTGTATGCCACAAGTCATTGAAGATCTAGAGCGGCCGACCCTTATTGTACAGAAAAGTAAACTTAGTTTTTAATTTATTTATTTTCAAGCATTTTTTGACACTTTTGCTCTTTACATCTTTAATGTAATATAACAAAAAAACTGTCCCATTATTAAATTTTTATCATAAAGATTTTTTGTTGAGGTCAAAACTGCAAAGTTTCAAGAAATTTCACCAAAAACTTTTTTCAATGTCTTCTGTGAGGGGGGGGGGGGGTTGAAAAATTTTATGCATTAATTGTGCGACAATTAAGATCAATTAAGGTGCACTTTCAAAATTAATTACTAATTAATTAGTCTAATTTAATTTAATACTTGCAGAATTGAACTTGCACATCATAATAAGTATTTTGCTTTCAACCAAAATTAACTAATTTCGTACCTTATTTTGGGTTTTCGTTGCTGTTGTGTACCCCAAAAAACGACTAATCTTATATTTGAATTATGTCACGATTCATACACAGTATTATCTAAATGTGAATGTTGTAATCATATGAGCAATAATTACTTGTTTATTATGTTTAGCATTAATCCCAGTTGACTGGCAACTTATTTTAATTGTTGTGGGACTTGTCGTTTGTGTGATACTGATTGGCACAATAATCGTTCTCATATTACATTGCCGAGATCGTATTAAGCAGCCCAGGCCAAGATTAGCTCAATCTCAAGATAATGACATACGTAAGTATTTCTTACAATTAATATTTGTCTTTATGTATAAATGTAGTTTATTTAATGTTTTATTTAAATTATATTTTCTTCTGTTTAAAAATATTGTATAAATTAAAATCAATGGTTATAATCTTCATTTTAAGTAATTTTATTATTAATACAATTTTTATTTGAAACAATTTTTATTTTATAAAATTTTTATTTTTATCAACTTTTTATTTAAAAAATTCTAATTTTACACAACATCAATTTAGCAGAATTCTCATTAAACAGAATTTTAAGTGATTCAAAATTTATCCGTTATTTGCACGAATTCTTATTTGATAGAATTCTTAAAACGCCGAATATTTATTTGTCGAAATTGCAAATAGCCGCCAAACAATCGACAAAAATATTTCGGCTCGAATTTAAAACTTAACCAATCACAAATTATTTATCAAGAAAATTGTGATTGATTAATTTTTACTTCTGTTAAATTAAAATTCGGTTAAATTAGAATTTTTTTGAACAAAAAGTTGGTAAAGATAAATTCTTCACAATAAAAATTCGGTAACTTGAAATTTTTTTAAAAATTCGTTTAAAAAAAAATTCTATCAAATCCCAATTTGAAAAATGAAAATTTGTCTCAAAAATAATTATGTCTGTAATAAAATTTTTTAAAATGAAAATGCTGACAATTAATTTTTTAGGAAATTAATGCTCTCCAAACGAATTTTAAGATTAAAATGCAATATTTTAGTAAAACTGAAATTAATTGTTGCATTATTAATTAAAAATTTGTTTAATCTTTAATGCAATGAACTTTAGTTTTATAAAACTCCTTATATTTTAATCATAAAATTTATTTAAATTTTAAAATGAACTAAAATTTGAAATGAAGTTTTTATTAATGAAAAACAAAAAGATAATTATAACATTTTACTCTACAAATTAATAAACAAATCAGTAAACCAAATAGTTACTAAAATTCAAATTATTAAAATTTTTTAAATAAACAATAATAAATAACTGAAAGAATTATAAACAAACAAAATTAAATAAACAAAAGTAATTTTCAAAATTATAAATAAACAAAAACAAACAAAATGCCAAATTTACAAAATTCACACAATATTACAAAAATATAAAGAATTGGGTTCAGCATTTCTCAGGTCAATGTCAAGAAAAATAAATCAATAAAATAGTGGATCAAAAAAATTAGATTTAATGAAAATTTCATATAAGAAAAGTTTATATTTTATTATGGAGGTCATAATAATAAAGGGTCACAAAAATAGGTAACAAAGACATAAAAAGGAAGAATCTAGAATAGATCACTATAAAAATTTAAGGGAATGGTAACAACAATAAATCAGGAACAAAATAAACCGATTTCATAATTTTAATCACAAAAAATAAGAAAGTAAGCAAATAATAAATTCTTAAGAATTCGACACGTGTTCGAGTAAATGCAAAAAAATTAAATATAAAGATAATTAATAAAACCAGAAATTAATATCTTTTTAGAAAAAATATAGAAATTATTAAAAGAAACGCATATTTATTCATAGATATCTTAACAAATAATGAAGCTAAAGAAATGTTTTGAAAATCAATGAAAACCTTGTTAAATTCCTCGTGAAATGGTATCAAGTATAAATATTTTTAATAAATAGTGATTAAATTTGCTTTTGAAAAGGAGTGAACAATTTTTCGATTTTTATAAATTTTCTTTATCTAACTTCAACTCTTTATACGCTGTAAGTATCGTTTAGAAAAAACAAGAAATTCACCTATAATTAAGCTTTCTAAGGTATCCTGTCTTTAAAAGCAAAACAAGAAACCTGAAAAGTATTTAGTCATTCCCAAAGATTTGATTAAATTTGTAAAGCCCTACTGGTTCGAGTTCCGCGACGAAACCGTGGATTTCAGACGCAAAGCATAAATTATGACTCTATAAATGTAGTCATAACTTGGGGAAGACTAAATAGTTTTTCATGCTTCGTGGTTTGTTTTTAAAGAGGAAATTTCAAGTTTCAGTTAACTATTCTGTCCGGTATTATATGAATTTTTACATACAAAATAGGATGAAAATAATCTTCAAATGGCCTGAGTTAATTAAATATTTCTACATTATTTTTTTCCGGAATTTTTATCACATAATCTATTCATGGTAGAAATATTTTTTTAATATGAAAGTTGTAGGAAAAGTAATAAATGTCAACATATTTTTCATGGTGAGTTCTAACCAACTTTTCCAAAAGTTTTGAAAAAAAAACCAAAATCTTTCATAAAACCCTTTTCGAGAAAATCGATTTTGTAGGTTAAAGAATTTACTCGTTGCACATTCGTTGAAAATTTGTAGTTTGTTGAAATAATAGAGAAACTGAATTTAATGGGGCGGTACGAATTCAACACAAATAAACTCTACCCAAAAAAATACTGTACCGCTAACTGTACACGAGTAAATTCTCAACAAAATTAAATAAAAATATATTCTTCACAATTAAATACTACATCGAAAAACCCTACACAATAAACTATTTACTAGAAAATTATCTTCATAAACTCTACACAAATAAACTCAACACATTAAGATTTAGAATTAGAAAAATTAAAAATATTTTTTTATAATTCTACACAAATAAATATTACATTAGTAAATTCTACACAGCTATAAAAAATAATAAATTAAATTCGACACAAAAGGAAAGATTATTTTCATGTGTTGAATTTAATTGTGCCGAATTTAATTTATTATTTTTTATAGCTGTGTAGAATTTACTAATGTAATATTTATTTGTGTAGAATTATAAAAAAATATTTTAATTTTTCTAATTCTAAATCTTAATGTGTTGAGTTTATTTGTGTAGAGTTTATGAAGATAATTTTCTAGTAAATAGTTTATTGTGTAGGGTTTTTCGATGTAGTATTTCATTGTGTAGAATATATTTTTATTTTATTTTATTGAGAATTTACTCGTGTACTGTTAGCGGTGGAGTATTTTCTTGTGTAGAGTTTTCTCGTTTTGAATTTAATTATTTTTATTTAATGTGTTAAATTTTGAATGTGTACAGTTTATTTGTGTAGGATTAAAATATTTTTATTTGATGTGTAGAATTTATAAATGTTGAGATTAATTGTGTAGAATTTTATAAATAATCGGAAATAAAGAAAATATTATTTTCATGTGTAAAATTTAATTGTGTCGAATGTAATTTTTTATTTTTTATAGCTGTGTAAAATTTACTAATGTAGTATTTATTTGTGTAGAATTATAAAAATTTTTTTTTTAATTTTTATAATTCTAAATCTTAATGTGTAGAGTTTATGAAGATAATTTTCTAGTGGGGCGGTTCAAATACTACACAATTAAATTCTACATCGTTAAAACCCTACACGTCAAACTCTACACAGTTAAATTGCACACCGTTAAACCTTATACAATTTATTTTTTAAATTCTACACACTTAATGTGTACAATGTTAAACTCTACACAAATTTATTTTGTAGTGAAAAATTAATTTCTTTAAATTCAACACGGTTAAATACCACAACGTTAAACTCTACATATATTTCTTTTGTAATAAAAAATTAATTTTCTTAAATTTAACACAGTTAAATTCCACATTGTTAAATTCTACACATATTTATTTTGTAATGAAAAATTAATTGCATAAAATTCTACACAGTTAAATTGTTCACCGTTAAACTCTCAATAAATTTATTTTGTATTATAAAATAAAATTTGTTTAACTCTACACAGTTAAGTTGCATATTGTTAAACTCTACAAAAACTAATATTATAACATAAAATTAATTTTAATAAATTCTACACCTTTAAATTGCACACCGCCAAACTCTTCACATAATGATTTTATAATAGAAAATAAAAATGATTAAATTCTACACAGTTAAATTGCTCACTGTTAAATACTAAACAATTTATTTTTTAAATTCTGCACAGTTAAATTCCACATCGTTAAATTCTACACAGATTTATTTTCTAATTAAAAATTAATTGCATAAAATTCTACACATTTAAATTGTTCACCGTTAAACTGTCCACAAATTTATTTTATAATAGAAAATAAAATTTGTTGAACTCTTCACAGTTAAATTAAACACACTTAAACTCTACACACACTAATCTTATAATATAAAATTAATTTTATTAAATTCTACAGAATTAAATTACACACCGTTAAACTCTTCACAAAATTTAATTTAAAAAAAATAAAAATTTATTAAACTGTACCCCGTTAAATTGCACATTGCTAAACTCTAAACGATTTAGTTTTTAAATTCTACACAATTAAATGCTACAATGTAAAATTCTACACAAATATATTTCGCAATTAAAAATTAATTTCGTTAAATTCTACATAGTTAATTTCCACACTGTTAAACCATACACAAATTATTTTTTAATTGTACACAATTAAATTGTACAATGTTAAACTCTACGCAAATTTATTTTATAACAAAAAATAAGTTTTGTTTAATTCTGCACAGTTAAATTGCACACCGTTAAACCATATACAATGTATTTTTTAAATTCTATACATTTCAATCGTACAATGTTAAACTCTGCACCAATTTATTCTTTAGTGAAAAATTAATTTTGTTAAATTCTACTCTGTTTAACTCTATACTGTTAAATTCTACACAAATTTATTTTGTAAATGAAAAATTAATTTTGTTGAATTCTACACAGATAAATTCCACACCTTTAAACTCTTCACAAAATTTAATTTTAAAAAAATATAAAATTTATTGAACTCTACACAGCTAAATTGCACATTGTTAAACTCTAAACAATTTAGTTTTTAAATTCTACATAATTAAATGCTACAATGTAAAATTCTACACAAATTTATTTCGCAATTAAAAATTAATTTTGTTAAATTCTACATAGTTAATATCCACGCAACGTTAAACATCAGACAAATTATTTCTTAAATTGTACACAATTAAATTGTACAATGTTAAACTCTACGCAAATTTATTTTTAAAAAAAAAATATGGCG